ATAATTAAGATAGCCACATATGCAATTCTTCTTTTTGCCAAATAGGGTTTAAGTAAGAAATTAGGATTTATTATCTTTATTTAGTGTTTTGTTAATTTTCTTTTTAAACCGACAGTGTTTATCAACTGATAAATCGATCTCATTTGTCCTTTTTTCATAAGATGAATATATCTTCGCCTAGCAACTGCTTGTGTTATAATGGTCTTTATTTGTTTATTTGCAAGTGCTTCCAATATGCATAATTATTTTTTATTGGGCTCTAACAGGGAACAGATGCCATTGAAGGGATTAAACTACACAAGGTTGATATAGAAGACTTGATCGTGAATGTAGACTCGTTCAAACAGATGCCATTGCTCTTTATGATGGCTGATCATGTCCATCATTGTGGACCGGCCGGGCATCTATCGGAAAAGTTGTGGAGGCAATTGGGTCGAAACAGCAATAATATGTTCGTGTGTTAGGAGGCGCTGCTCAAGAAACCTATTCTTATTATCTTCACGCTGGTCCATGTCAACCTCTGCCTATTGGACCTTGGCCCATTATGCCCAAACTTGAGTCTATGCACGTGGATCCAATAGATTTAGTCTATTGGACCTTGGCCCAATAAGCCCAATTTAAATGTCTTGTCAAAAAGCTTGGCACGTGTACTTAATAAAGGCCATCGAATATCTTTCTCTCTCTCATTTTCTTTTGAAATTTTTTTACTTTTCGTCCTTATACTTTCACTAATTTTCTGATCTAGTCTCTATACTTTCAATTTTTTCAATCAAGTCCCTCCGATGTGAAATCTAGCCGAATCCAACTAACGTGGCTGTCAAAAGACGCCGAAGTGTGATGTAAATTAAATATTGCCTAGGTAAATACCCATCGTGGATAGAGAATTGGTGGGAGAATAAACATTGAATCCATTCACTATCCGTGGCCTCTTGATGGGTGTCCACGTAAGCAATACCTAATTCAAGTTACTCTTCGACTTCCTCCAACAGCAACATCAGTTGGATTTGGCCGAATTTTGTATCGAGAGACATGATTAGACATTTTGTTAAGTAGAAGGACTTGATTAGAAAAACTAAAAGTATATGGTCTCAATTAGTTGTTACGCAAAATAGAAAGAGTAGACAAAAACAAAACAATTTGAGCGAGAAATAAATGAAAAAAAAAAAAAAAAAAGTAAACCTGGCATAGTGAACTTACGTGGTTTAGGGGTGTGCCTACTTCATGAAGAGATCGACAAGATAGATCGACTATAATTAGCAAAAAGGATATTACAATCCCTTAATCACACTCACTCACTAGTGTTTTCTCGCCCTGATTACTCCTAAGTAAGCCCCACAAAAATTAATCAACAAAAAATCTCCCATTAGGTTTCTCTTTACGACTCTCTAAAAGCTCTCTCAAAGTAAATGAACAAAATAGATCAAAACCCGTGCTTTATTTTCTAAGCTCTCGAAAATATATCACTTGCAAAGTCCGCAAGTTCTGGTCAGTAGGAATGAATAATTGAAAATGTGGAATCTCTTCGCTTGGACGTTAGCATATCTGCATGAGGCAGCGTAATGCGGTCCTTTGCCACACTCTATTATTTCTAGAATTCTAATTCATGTTGGTGATACAAAGTAATGTGATGATTATTGGGTTAAGCCTTTATCCACCTAGTTATAAATAAAGTCCGTATATTCAAATAATGCAAGCTTACTCTTGGAAATCTATGGCTGGAGGTGTATTTGTTCCGTTATGTACTTATGAGTAATTAATATTTCTTTTACATTGATGGTATCCGAGCCACACTTCATCCATGTTAGATTAAATGTTTCTTTGGAAATTTACATCTATTGTTCAAAGGTATAGAGACAAAAAGGAGGATCATTACATCTCCGGAAAAATTATCCAAAAAGTCCTAAATTTATTGCACTTCTGTCAATTCAGTCCTAACCTTTTCAAGTTTGCTAATTAAGTCCTAAACATTTTCACTTATTACCAATTGAGTTAATCCGGTCAATTTTGGCTGTCCGGAGCTGACGTAACGCCCGCTGGTGCCGGCCATTCGGCCAACGCTGACATGGCAATTTTTAAGAATATTTTAATATTTTTTTCGAATTGTTTTTTTCTAGCCTTCTTCCCCTCTGGCGAGGGACGGCAAGGTTGACCTCGCCTTCGCGAACAAGGCAACGGCGAGGTCGAGCCTCACCTAGCCAAGGTTGAGCCTCATCCAGCCAAGGCGAAGCCGACCTCATCGTCACCTAGGTCTCCCTTGCAGAACAACATTGAGGTCGGCCTCGCTTTGGCGAGAGAAACCAAGCAACAGTGAGGTCGCCTCACCTTGGCTTGGCGAGGCTCGACCTGGCCTGGGCGAGGCTCGACCTGGCCTGGGCGAGGGAGACCCAGGTGACGGCGAGGTCGGCCTCGCCTTGGCTAGGCGAGGTTTGGCCTCGTCCAACCAGGGGCTAGCAAAGCTTGCCCTCACCAGTGGCCGGCGAGGACAAGCTTCGCCAAAAGCTGGCAAGGTCGACCTTGGCAGCCCTCGCCTTTGGCCGGTCCGGCGACCAGCCAAAGGGGAAGAAGGCTAGAAAAAAATATAAAACATTCGATAAAATATTAAAATATTAAAAAAATTTGCCACGTTAGCGTTGGCCGGACGGCCGACGTCCACGTCATCTCCGGGCTACCAAAATTGGCCTAATGGACTCAATTGGCAAGAAGAGAAAAGGTTTAGAACTCAATTGACAAACTTAAAAGGTTTAGAACTCAATTGGCAAAAATACAATAGGTTTAAGACTTTTTGGACAATTTTTCCTTACATCTCCTGGTCATAAGAAAAGTAAAACTTTTGACCAAATTAATATGCATATTAATCCTGTTCCACATCTCTAATCCTCGAAGTTTGGTTTAGCTCATCGCCTGTAATATAAACGTCTATTATGATGGTTATACCTTGTAACCTTGGAACAATAGTGGGCAGTTCAATTATTTCTCCTATGATGAACAACGGATCCAACAGTTAATGGAAATTGGTTCATTTCGGCTAGTTACAAGGTTTCGAGAATCAATCGCCTAGGCTGGGTTTTTTGTTAGAGCGTGTGATTAGTGGGGCAATTATTGTAATATTTTTTAGGAGAATACTAGTATTAATGCTCATGAGTTCAACATGATGCCTGAACTCTAAGTTTCATGTGTGGCAATTGTCACGACCTATCCAAAGGTGAACTGTCTAGGGTTCGGCTAATGGCATACTAAGCTTTCACCCAGCTTGAGCTCTTTCAAACCCGTACCAATTCGCAATTTAGGTTCAAGTTTTTTTAACACACAAGATTAATTTCATTTCGTAGTCACTACTAATTAGTTTTTGGTGGATCAAATTGAAACCCAAGTAAAGTGTGTGAGAGTACTTTACTTCTACGAACCAGATATTTATAGATTCGAGGACTTGATTATGCTAAATTAAACTGATGCCCATTTGATACATTTTCTCTTTTATTTTCAAAATATATTTTGTCAAGCAACTCGGATTGATTTTAGACCTATCCACTGATATGCAAAGGGTGCGCAACCACTAAAGTAACACTCAATAAAATAACGCAATAAATAAATTGCTAGAATAGGGAAAGAATTCAATACCTCGGTGCAAGCAAAGCGCATTGATTAATTAATTCTCTCTGTTTTTAATGAAAACTAAGTTACATGCTATTCTAAGCTAGGTGAACATGCGGGGGTCACTACCCTAACAACATGAGACATGACCTAGTCTAATATGATATGCAACTCTAAATTAAATGACCCTAAACATGCAATCATTAAAAGACATAGCACATATGACATGGCGATGACATGGGGCGATGACGTGACAGGATGACGTGGCAAGATGACATGGAATTTGTGCAACTATCCTATATGACATGCACAAGTTTATTTTTGTATTTTTCATTAAAATTCGTAATTAAAAATATACAAATAAACTACATAAAAGATTAGCTATCCAATTCAGATTAAGAAACAATTTGAGCCCAATTTTATCCTATCTTGGAAAACTGTTTTAAACATGCAATATTATCTAAAAAATCTATCTTGATCTATCATGCAATCTTTTTTGTATTTTCGAATGAGGGAATCAAATAAAACAATATAAGCACCAAATCAAAAAAGATAAAGCTCGAAATTGCAAAAGATAAACACTAAATCACCAAAAGATATTCAATCCACGCAATTTGGAAATAAATAAAACTGCCACCCCGATCTACATGCCACAAGATCAAGTTGCCAATTTTCCGTGCAGTCCATAACCCTACCTCAATGCCTAGAGATTGAGTTACCAACTACAACACGTTTTCAAATTAGGAAATTATCCTAATTGGACACGCCTATCATCTCAGAATATTCAAATTAGATATCAATCTTTTAAAATAGGCAATAAAATCCAATATTTAAATTTGGATGTGACAGTTATCTATTCAAAAGATTTTGTTCGCAAAAACGGACTGGCGGATGACGGATCACGGACGGCGGCCAGCTTGTGGAAGGCGGTCGGTGTGGTGACCGGGCCCGGCCGTGGTTCTCACGGTGGCTAGTCCCGATCAGAACAACGGTGAGGGATGGGTGAGCGCGCCGAAGAGATCACGGTCACGGCAAGGACTTAATGGGCACATCGGAAGACCTATTGTGCTGCTGGATGAGTCGCTAAAGCCTTCAGAATGCTGGAATCTCACTGAGATGCTTGGGTTCTCGCCAATATTGCTAAGGGGTTGCTAGAGTGACAGAGGTAGATTTAGTTTACTGGAACACCTGCAATAAAGAACACCTCGCCACGGACTGAGCAAGCTTGCAGCATCACTGTGAGTGCTTCGTCCACGTCCGTCGAAGCTCCTAAGGCGCTGGGAAATCCAGGAGTTGCTGTGGACTCGTCGGAAAAGCTGGTCACGGTGATCGAACAGAAAGCCGGCACTGCTATGGAGAGTGCAGATTGTCGGTGAGAGACTGAACAGCAACGGCAGGAGCTCTTGGCGATGGTGGAGGCTGGATCGTCGTTCGCTGGCGGGCGCTACTATAGGAGCAAAGCTCGCTGGAAATTCGCCGGGAAACCTGCAAAGACTCGCGTGATACCTGGAGGCTTACTGGCATCAACGGGAAGCTCACCGGTACGGGGTCGACACCGAGGAGGTGTGGTGGCGGGATGTGGAGGCACGGTAGAGAGCTGACGGGTGACTTGAGATTCGACGAGGGCTTCGCGGAAGGTGCTTGGTCTGTAGCGTCGCTTTGGGCTCGTCTGGTGGCCGCTGGAGGATGAAAGTCGTCTGGACAGATGGCTGAGTTGTCGGACATTGTCTCCTCCCTCTTCGGCGTTTTCTGTGATGCGCTCTCTGTGTTTGAGCTCGTGAAAGTCTTGCTAGTGTTACGAGTCTTTTCTTTACATACGGGACAACCGAGCTTTCCAAGGGAAGGACCAAACGTAACATATTATACTTTCATTCCCTTTATTATGATTTCACCCAAATATTCCTCCCCTTTGTTGATCGAGCAATCAGAACTTACCTAGCTAAATTGCTTCACATCTTCTTCTTTTTTCTTTTTATTGCTTTCTTTTGACGTTTCTTGCAATGCGTAAGACCACCATCTTTCCTAGAATATTCTCCACTATCGACATCCTTCAATTTATATTTTCATAGGCGTCCCTGATACGAATTTCAGCCATCATGTGCAAGGCACAGTGGGAAAACTTGGTCGAATTTTATATCCCCTTGGTCTTAAGCTTGGGACCTTGCATCTGCCACCAATCCAATGCAAATTATGGGTTTAATAATGCATGATAATAAATGCAAGCGTACAAGCCTATTATTGTTATTGCTCCTAAAATCTATGTGTAGTTTAATTAACATTTTTGTTTAGGGATAGGGTCAATTCCTAATTTTCTATGCAATTAATGACTAAATGAGTTATCAAAATTTAGGTGTCAACAATAATCAATGCTAGTTTGTGTGTGTGGAGAGAGAGAAGGGGGGGGGGGGGGGTGGGGGTATTATTATTCCATTCAGTGTGAACGTTGCTTCCCATCTAGCTAGGCTAGTCTCAATGTCAAGTACTATGCGAGAACTAGATCAGACCACCTTGAAAATCAATCCGATTTCAAGTTCCCATCGAAATTGCTCCGGTTCCCAGTTCCGAGTGAAGAATCACTTGGGACCAGATCGAATTTGGAATCAGTTTCATAAGCCTAAAAAACATAATTTTTCTTTTGGCATCTCTCTCTCTCTCTTGCTCACGACTCACCCTCCTCCTCGCTCACTCATGGCTCGCCCTTGCTCATTCGAGCCTCGCAACCCATGCTCGTTCCTGACTTGCCTTTGATCGCTCGCCCTTGTTGATCTTTTGCTTTGAACCGTTTTGTTACTCATATTATTTTGCTTTAAAAAATGAAACCAAAAAAAAGGAACAAAAGAAAAATAGGTTCTCGAGTAGACATTGGAACCGGACCAGAAAAACAGGGCGGTTATATTGCAAACATGGTAGAGTATAGGTAACAAAAACTGTGAACAGGTTCTAAAAAGATAGGTTCTAGGTTTCAGGTCTGGAACCTACCTACCCTAAAATAGATCCTTATGAAATACAAGCCTGCAATTATCTCAGTAAAATTATCAACATCGTCTGAAGTGGGTTTGTAGGAAGATCCGAAACATGTATGAAGGGTGAAGTTTTGCAGGAAGGTCTTCCATTGTGTGCGCGGGAAAAAAACTATCTTGGTGTTTATAAATGTGTCATGTATTGTTGTTACAGAAACATGTGCAATCTTCATTTTTGGGAATTACATATAAGATGGAGAGCTTGTCCTTGCCGTGCCCTCCCAGTTCTCTGTCAACCCTGACCCCCTCTCTATCCCTCTCCCACGGTGACGTAGTCGCCATCACCATGGCCGCAAACTCCTTGATTGAGGTCACCCATAGCTGCCGCGACTTCGATAGAGGCTCACACCGAGGTCATTGTGGCCGGAGAGAGAGAGAGAGAGAGAGAGAGAGAGAGAGAGAGAGAGAGAGAGAGAGAGAGAGAGAGAGAGAGAGGGGACAAAAGGGTGGTCAAAGGCGATGGGATGGTGGCCGGGGAAATGGAGAATGACAGATTCGGGTTGAGAGATTGAGTTGATGCTAGGGATTTTTGGGGCTTTATCACAAGAAAAGATGAGTTAGTTATTTCAGTGAGATTGAACATGAAACTTGCAATTTCAAAAGTAGAGTTATGTTAATGATAAAGCAAAGAAAATCCAAGTATAACTTTTCTTTTCTTTTTTCCTTTTGATTACTTTGAGTTAGCAAGATCGAATTAAGAAGGCTTTATGCCTAATCTTGAAGAAAAAAGAATTAAAGTCCAAAGACTCAAGTCGATAGTCATCAAAAGAACAAACAATGAGTCATCCTTTCTTCCACCTTTAATTCCTCCAATCACGTCTCTAATTGGTATATTATTAATATAGATAGGGTTAATACCACGAAAAATTCCAAACTGGTACACATGTGATAAATTTACCCTAAACTAATTTTTTGACCACGGAAAATCACAAACCGATACACCTGTAACAAATTTAAAATTAATTTTTTGACCACCAAAAATCCAAACTAATATATTTGTGACAAATTTATAATACCACGAAAAATCACAAACCGGTACACCTGTGACAAACGGAGGGAGAAACCCTAAATCGGTGCATATTGTCAACTATTACATGTTATCCAACTCGAAAATTTGATTGTAAAATTTAACGAAAATTAACGGAGAATAAATTTGTCACGGGTGTACTAGTTTGGGGTTTTTTGTGATCAAAAAATTAAATTAAGATAAATTTGTCACAAATGTATCAGTTTAGGGTTTTTCGTGGTATTGACTCATATAGAATCCCCCTTGCAACTTACCAATCAGAGGAAGTAATAAAAAAAATATATAATCCTTTAAAAAAAAGTGGTGATGCATTCTTCAATAAAATGGCATCCCTATAATTAACAACAACGTTTGGGTGGTTCTTAGTTATGTCAGATTCAAAAAATATATATAAAACTTAGATTATCTAATAAAAGATCATGAAATGGTTTATCTCAACTATATACTGAATACTGATAAATTCTGTTATTGCACTTAATGCCATAATTTTTACATATCTCTTATCTCAACTATATTCTGAATACTGATAAAGATTTCTAAGTTTTTCCATTTAAAATTAAAAAGTTTAACATGCCCTTTTTGCATGAAAAACTCTGTCAAGTTTTAGCTATTTATATTCCAAAAAAATGCCGATCCTCCATTTGGATTTTGATGGTAATCTTTAACGTTAATCTTTTTATTTTATTTTTGAGATTAAAAAAACTATTTTATAATATAACTTTGTCTTTTCCTTTTGACCTTCCATAATTTATCTTGGCAATTTGCTATCAGTGAAACCTAGCACTTTTTCTCTCTTGACAATGAAGCAGTTTATTTCCATTTTTGAATGAAAAACTATTTTGTCAAGTTTTGGCTATTAATAATTGGCAAGAACGTACTAATTCTTCATTATTTTTTAATATAAGTTTATGAAATTGTTATTTGAAATTACAAAAATATATTTTTCCCGAAATTCACAAGTTGTGTTTGAGTTTTATTTAACTTATTGCGGGGAGGGGTTTTACCGCATTGGTGGCTTTAAAGATTTCCCGAACAGGAAGAAAAAGATGATACCTTAATTCTTAAGGACAATTAAAGGAGCCTAATTATATATTTGGAAATGTAGCGTGTCGTGCACGAAGTGACTCCATATAATTCGATAAAATTGACTTTATATCGAAATAAAGATTGCAATTTGTTAGTGCATTGCATATTATCTAATTAAGCTAGTTATTCATAAAGTAAATTTCGGACATAAAAGCATTTACAAAATTACACAATCAGTCCTAAGCCAATTGTGTGGATATAAATTTAGTTCTAAACTTTGCAATTTTACAAATTTAGTCTCATACCTTTTATGCAAAATTCCAATATAGTCATTATAATCAATTTTCGCCGGACATCACTGACGTGACAGCCCAGCTATCGGCGGTCATCCAATGTAGCATACTGTCACATCAACAATTTCAAGCGAAAATTGATCATAATGGCTACATTAGAATTACGTGTAAAAGTCTAGGGCTAAATTGGCAAAATTGAAAAGTTTAAGACTGAATTGACATTCGTACAATAGGTTTAGAACTGATTGGATAATTTCTCTCAAAGCATAAGTATAACTTTCTCATTAACATCCTTTCTCGTAACACGATTTGTCATGTAAGAATGGCCTATTATACTCCATATATAGTCACGTGCTATCCACTTGCGTAGATGGATTATGAAGGTCGCCTAAGAAAAGTTCGTAGAGATTGTGCCAACATTAAATATAAGTAATTCTCAAATTTGCAACAAAAGCATATTTTTAACTATACATCATTTTAGTCTTGTATTTCATGTGTGAGTAGACCTGATCATTGGGCGAATGGTCGGCGGGCTTGGGTGGTCTTAGCTGAATTTTTTCGCCCCGTTGAGCGGGTCTAGACAAAAATTCCAGGTCTAGTCAGCGGGATGGTTGGGCCTGGGGAACGACCTCGAGGCTTGTTCCGGCCCGCCCATATATTTACTAAAAGAGATTATCAAATACGTTTTGCTATTAATTTTACTTTGATATTTAATACTTCTTAGCACTAATAGGATAAAATAAGCCTAAATTTCTAATGTAGTAGAGAAAAAACTATAAAACTCATAGGTGAAGTAATAAAATAACATAACACGAAGTTCCTACAATTATTTTTCATTTGTTTTCCATTTCTATTTAATTTTTTAATTGAAAATTTTCATTCTTTGTTATCCGGAGGAAATACATTTTTGTAAAACTTGAGAAATGGTGGTTTTGCGTGTGTGTGTGTATATAATGTGGTGTTCTATGAAAAGTAAGTTTGTTTATTTATTTATTTGGGGGAGGGCCACAACGCCCTCGCCTGGATCTTGGCAAGGGCCACGATGCCTTTGCCCAGATTAGGCGAGGTTCGGCTGGCGACCTTGCCAACCTAGAGTTGTAAAGAAAAAAGAAAGAAAGAAAAAAAAAGGAAAAAAGAAAAATTAATTAAAAAATCAATTTCGGCGATTTCCGACCAAAATTGGCTAAATGGATTACGATGGCAAATCGTCAAAAATTTTATGACTCAATTGACACAATTGAAAGGTTTAAGAAAGAACAGACACAAATGTAATAGATTTAACATTTTTTTGGTTATTTTCCCTATTTTAACATATACCGAATGCTCGTACAATTCTTAGTCACTATCAACACCCGACAAATATATGGGTGCGCAATTTGAAGTTGACATGTGTCTCCACTCCGGAGAGATATATTCCTCTTATTTCGTCTCTTTTTAAACTACCCTAATATTTAAACATCAAAAAGTAGAAATCAAAGTAACAACATAATATGGTTACTCAAAAATCATATTTCTTTTTGTGTATATGGCAAATTCTGAATTTGGTTTAAGTCACTGATTACTAAAAATCATAATTTTCTCTAGATACAGAAAGGCTAAGAATATGTGATTACCTTTTTCTACTAATCTAGGAGCATGAGTGGAGAAGTCCGACTATTTGGAGGCCCATGAAAAAATGTGCAATCACCATAGATCGGTTATGTTCATGCATTTGTTCTACGCAAGTGGGTTGACCTAAACTGGTTTGTATACAGCTGGTGAAATTGAACGAGTGACCTCTGCGTTCTGAGTTCAAAATTCTCAATGCAAAACCAACTCCACAAATGTTTGGGTTAAGCAATTTCATGTGATAAGCTTAATATTATTATTGTAGATATAAAAAATTTAAAAAGAATGATTTACAACCGACTACACGATTCTAACAGATTCTTTCCCAAAAATGACTGTTTTCAGAAGGGCTATGTCTTCCTCATCTCCTGTTATCAATTTTTTGATTGGTGGATTATAAACGTGTACATCATCGATATTTATATTTAGACTTATTAGAATGTAATTGATGTTCATAATTTGTAATTTACCAATTAGAGTTATTGTACGAAATTTTCTCCAACCGAACATGGAGGAAAACACTTTTTCCCATCTTCTCATTTTAACAAACGATGTAGCCCAACATGTTTTAAAAAATAATTATAACTAATGTTAATTCTCTCGAATCAGTTATGTTTTCGATAAGAAAAAAGTAGGTAAAGGAAAATAGGAAACTACTTTGGCCTTTATTCACAGAAAATAAAATGTGAGACTAACATTTCAAAAGACAAGTTTTATGTGCCTTCCTATTTACAAGCTAATTCGAATGGAAGGAAGGAATGCTAGTGATAGCAAATAACAAAAGCAGAAAGGAAAAACGCAATAGTAGAGATCAAATGTAAATGAACTCTTGGCACAAAGCCCCAGTTCATCGACACATGACAATCCTTTCCGTTTGCAAAAGATACGACACCTAGTCATGAGAGACTCCCGAAGCCAAAAAGCTGAGCATGCTCTTGCAATTTGGGCACTTGAGAGAGAACCGATTAACAGGAGTAAGCGTGACTGATAAGCAAGGGATATGGTATGGCCTAAGAAACAAAAATGGACGAGTTTTTTTTTTGGTTAAAAAAATGGACGAGTTTTAGAACCGCAAAATTAAATAAAAGAGAAGATAACACTGATAAGCAAGAGCCTCCACACCTTTTAATGTAGATCCCTCTCCCTCGATAATAGTCGAGAGAACTAATTGGACGAGCACGAGATCGGTGGCAGGGAAGTGATAGAGAGCACGAGCAACGATACTATTCTGATGGTTCTATTTCGTGACATGAGGTAGCTTTAATTTTCTTTTACGTCGTTCAGGTCGTCACTTAGAATAAAGAAAAGTTGTTGCCAGATTTATACGTAACGCGGATTGATATTTATCTGAACCATGACTTATGTGAGTCTCCATAATGATCAATGGTTTAGATGGCGC